CACCCTGCCTTCCAGTTGTCTCTCAAGGTCCTACGGCCGTCGGTTTCACGAGTGCTATGGTGTGCTAGAGTTTGGTTGTGGGTTACAACAGGTTCAGAGTTGCAGCCATACTGCGTCCCTGCAGGCCGGCCTTGAAAGTGGCCAGGAACTACCGCCATGTTCTTGTAAGCTGTATATTGGTGTTGACTTGTACAAGTATATTGGCTCGCCTTGCACTTCGGATGGCACCTCCTTTGCGTCGCTCGTGCTTTGTCGGTACGAGTTCTGTTGGTATGATTTTTGCGGTGAGTCTTGTTTTGGTGTGTTATGATCTGAGCATTTGATATACTACAGAATTTTGTACCGTGTTTGGTTATTAGTCGACAGGATGGTGGGGGCGACTTTGTGTTCTTTGCAGTCAGGGGTCTTAGGTCCTGTGGCCCTATCTCCCGAGAATGTATCGGGTCTATATGGTAGTGCTGATATGGAGCTGGAAATTGATTCCGTTTACGGTCTGCCGCGTTGAGGGGCTGCCATGGTGGGTCACCGGTGTGACAGTCTAAGGGCACTGCCGTCTTTTCTATAAAGTATTTTAGTACCCAGGCATCCTTGATACGCGTGTTATAATGGGCTGGGGGAGCGTTCCAGGGGCGGTTGGCTTTGCAAAGATCAGAATGCGGAGCCCTGGGTGTAGGCGAGGGCTCAGGGCCCCTTGCTGTAAGTATGCCCGAGTCGCCTGGGGGCAAGTAGTGCTTTCTAGTCGTTGTATAGCTGCCAGCTCGTGGATTGCCGACCATTTTGGACAGAAAGATTCCGCTGATGTGCGAGCTCGAGCTACCGAGCCATTGCCATTGTTTCAGAGGATTCATATTAGAGCATATCCTACGCGCTTGATTGTTCTGGCATATCAGTATGCCGGTGTCTTGTTCGCCCAGCATATTGGTTCGGGTGGATCTGTCACGGAGTTCTTGTGGTGCGGTTGTTTTCACAAGGCTAACCGATCTTGGTTGCGCTATGTTACCCATAGACTTCGGCCTGGGGTCAAGCAATGGTGCGTAGAGCAGGCCGGTCCGAACCGAGCCCTTAAGCTCATCCATTGCCCCCTCCTCAGTCATGGAGCGGCCATCGGCGCCCAAAAGAAACACGGTTAGAAGAAGCAATACGAACGATTGCATTGTTGCCTGCAAACCGTGCTTACCGCGAAGTGCACAACTTACTTTCACTCCCCCAGAGCGGCTTGACTAGGCGCGTAGTTGTAATTATCTTTACTGGTCTATCCAGCAAAAGCATATGGATGTTTCGTTCCAAGCAAAACAAAACCAAAAACCCTGCCCACCAATTATCTATCCCCCACGCACCGGCTCCGGCCTTGTCGGCATCATGATCGGCGGCAACTCCGCAAACGGCGCCGTAAAGTTTACCCACATGCGGGGCGTTCCAGAAGCTTCCGAAGCCACGGAACGAACCTCCTCCCAAGCCTGGTCCTCCGGAGACTTTACAACAACCGGCGGCGGAATGCGTGGGCTAGGAGCAGCGGCGGCGGCAGCGCCGCTGTTCCGTCGAGCCGTAAATTGGTGCAAAACCGGCGATCGCCGATTACCTTGGTTGAATCTGATGCAGCCACTAGCTTCTTGTATAACATATGTAATGTAATGTTACAGAGTGGGAGGCTTCTGGGCCGCTTTCACTCTGGGAACCAGCTTCCCTTCGATTCCCGGGAATCCCTTCATCTAGTGGTCGTTTCGTGCTCATTCGTGCTCATTTCAGAATGAAGGGCTAAGGGGCCTTCAGAGCATATCGACGGAGTTCGGCTGAAATGGCCACTTAGCATGCAAAAGCCTTGTAATATCGCCATGCCAGGGATTGTTTTAATTACTTATGACTGTACAAATCCTCCAAACATAAGGTTTCGTTCAGTCTGCGCTTGTCCCAGAATGAAGGGCTGTAGGGCCCTTCAGAACATACAAATGCACACAGCATCTGTTCGCAAGTCCTGCTTTCTGTTGAAGATGTAATAATAGCTAATAAAGAGACGGCTTCATTTTGGACTGAAGGGGCCTTCATATCACATGATGGACATGGGCTCGTTTTATGGAGACTACTTCATTTTGGACTGATGGGGCATTCAAACCGTAGGGGGCGTTCATTCTGAGCTCCCTTTATTCTGTAATGAGGGAGTCCTCATTCTAAATTGACCCGGTGCCCTCGATTTGGTGTGGAATGAAGGGTCCTTCATGAAGGTATGAAGGGTCTTCATTAAGGTATGAAATGAGTATGAATCGCATATAGAATGAAGGCTCCAGGTTCCCAGAGTGGTAGTTCCGTTCAGCAGGGGAAAATTTCTTACTGGTAAAGGCGACCGGTCGGTCATTTTGCAGGAGTACTGCGCAAGTTCCGTTCAGCGAAGCATCTGAGATCACTTCGAAAGGCTTTGTAGAATCCGGGTAATTCAACAAAACGTCGTTCGATAGTCGAGCTTTGAGTGTTTCAAAGGCTCGTATGGCTTGTTCAGGCCATTCATCTGGTAATCTTTTCGCACTGAAGAGATCGGTCAGGGGTGCAGCAAGGGAGCTAAAACCTGCGATGAATCGCCGGAAATAGTTCGCAAGGCCAACAAAAGATCGAAGTTCAGAGATGTCCTTTGGCAATGGCCAATTTCGAATAATCTCAACCTTCTTGGGATCCATACGGATACCATCTGCGTTCACGACATGTCCAAGATATTGGACTTCGGTCTTCCAAGAATCGCACTTGGAAAGCTTGACATGTAACTGATTTTCCTCGAGGACCTTTAACACCACCCTTAAATGGCGTGCGTGTTCTTCGGGGGTCTTGGAGAATATCAGAATGTCATCCACGTCTGTATATTTTTCGGTCGTCTATATCCTGCAGACCCGTCTATTAGACGAGTCATCTACAATAGTTCGTCTAAAGTCGAGTCGTCTATGCATGTCGTCTATAGTCGATTCATCTATTGTAGACGAAGGATAGACGATGGGTAGACGGTGAGAGGAGTTCAATATGCTGTAGAGTGTCTGCTTGGGTTAAACCATGCCGCTGAGCGGATGTCTGTTCTGCATCAATGTTGGCAAGGTTCTGGCAGGCTAACACTGCCTGGCATGTAACGATTATCGCCATACTTACAAAACCCCAGCACATGCTGTGGGGACCAGGCAGTGCCCAGCCTCTCCCACTTCCTTACCACAAAACTGTTGCAGTTTGAGATAATTGGGCAGACTTCAGTGAAGCCCATCCCTCATCAACAAGCCCACAACAAAGGCTCGTCATGGTCCTTTATAACTGCAATGTCTGGCAACTTCCCAGCACAGGCCATCTGGTTTTGAAAACTCTCACCAGCACAGGCTGTGATGAACAGCCATTCCAACTCCACCACCCTTGCCATGTATGCATGGTGTAACACCACCCATAACCCGCAAGTCAATGTGCCCAGCTCAACATCAGCACCAGATCATCTTGGGTGGGTACTTCGACAGCAGTCCTTTCAGCACACTTCCTTGCCAAATAATAACACCAAGGGTCACACAGTCCTCCCCACCCCCCACACCCCCACCCGTGTGTACAAGAACTCCCCTGGCTCGGCTAATCAAACATCGCAGTGAACTCGGGGCCCATCTCGGACTCCAGTGGGTGGGTTTCATTTTCCACCGTCCCCGACTGCACGTAGAAGTGCAGTCGCGGTGACTTGCGACCCGGGATGGCAGCATCCCCTGCATGCACGGTGTTGCCGTGAAGCAGGATGATGTGGCCCGGCTGCATGATCAGCCGCAGCAGCTTCGGGGCACTCACGGAGGCAGCGCAATCATTTTTGCACGTTTCTCTTGCGCTGAACCAGGCCTGCATAGGTGCGAACAGCATTGTGGCTCAATGGCGACACCAACAGAGAGCACGGCTCAAGTGGCACAATGGCGACAAGGCCATTTGCCCCGACAGGCATATCGATGTGGAGCAACTGCTCCTGGAGGGGCTCCTCACCGGGCAGGTTGACAAGCACCACGCCCTTCTGCACCCGCTGTGTGCCTGTCGCTACCTTTCCGAGCTCCGTGACGATGTACCGTTTCAATGGCTTCAGCAGCCGGTACAGCTCAGAGGCACGCTCGTACACCGGGCGGGAGAGACCTTCCTCCTTGTCCTGCCCCTCCTCACCCAGCTCCTCCCCTTGCCCCTCCTCCTCCCCCTGGATCCTCTCCTCGGCCTCCCCTTCCTCCTCCGTTCCTTCCTCCTCTCCCTCCCCCTCCTCCAACCCTTCCTCATCTCCTTCCTCCTCCTTTTCAGCCTCTCCGTCCTCCTCCTCCTCCCCCCCCTCGTCCATCACCCTTTCCCCTCCCCCCTTTCCCTCGCCCTTGAATGCTTTGGGCTTCTTGGGCTGTTGCAGCTCTGCCTGGTACCGCTGTCCACCCTTGCCTGGTGTCACTACTACCCGGTGCTCATCCTTTTCGTCCCGGACGAAATTTCCACACTCATCCTTTACCAGCTCGTTGAAGATGGGATACCCCACCAGCTCACAGAACTCTGTGGCGTTGCTGGCCGCTTCTGTGGTGATGCGCTCCTTCAGGCCCTTTGGGGCCAAGGTCGCCAGCCCACACATCTGCAGCTGAGACCGTGCAGCCACAGGTGTGTCGCAGAGGTAGCTCTTCGAAGGTACCTCCTTGTACTACAGGGGAGCCAATGAGGGGTTGGATGCAATGCCTTAGTTACTGCCACAGAAAGGCCTGCAGTCAAAGGAAACGTTGAGAGGCAGCCGCTGGGCCCCTTGAGATGTAGGTAGTGATTCAGGGACAAGGCTAACAGGCGGCTCCAGTCAGCATGCATATGTAGGTTGTGTTTAAACTGGTTGTAGTGAGCTGTTGGAAACAACTCGTAACTGGCTGGGCGAGGGTGAACAGGCTGACGCACCTTTCCGTTGGTCTCCAGATCTGGCTCCGAATCTGACGATGATGACTCCTCAAGGTTTTCCTGGCCCTCAGGGTTTGCTGACCTGCTGCTCCCCCCCTTCCGCTTCCGGCTGTCGTGGTAACGCAAACCCATACCCTGCATCCGCTCGATCTGTTGTGTCGGGCAATCAAGGCAAGCACTATAAGAGGCTGTAAGAGGCTTCGCTTTGCTTTGGCTGGTTGGACCCACCTGTGAAAGAACCCTCCGAGAACGACGTTGCTGAGGATCCTGTTGCATGGCAATGGCACGGGGGAGTGCATTCAAATTGAGGGTAGTCTTGACTGCTGGGCACAACTGCAGCCATAAGCCATACAGCTCTGCTAAGGTGTGCAGCTGTTAGACCATGAAACCTCCCTTGAGCCCTGCATTTAGGGCCCACCATGCCCACTACCCCGTGACCACTACCACTGCCTGCCTGCATGACCCACCTGCTCGGTGCCAGCCCCGGCCTGGTCGTCTCCGGCACCGTCTGTCAGGCTGTGGCCCTAAAGAAGAGGCAGACAGAAAGTCACAATGTGAGCATGTGGAGGCAGGCGGGTGAGGAGGCTTCAGGGCCGCTCCAAAATAGTGGAGGGGTCACATGCAAGTTGCTTTACACTGCCTGCATGACCTTGGCAAGTAGACCGTAACAAATCGGTTCAAGTACGCTGCAAAGATGCGATTCATCAAGGTTGCGGGGGCGTTCGATATGCCAAAAGGCAATACAAGCCACTCGAAGTGTCCGAGATGGGTTGTGAAAGCCGTCTTAGGAACATCTTCGGGAGTAATCCGCAACTGGTGGTAGCCAGAAGCTAAATGAAAATCGATGCACCAGCTAGATGATCGAGTGTATCCGGGGCAACGGGTATCGATTCTTGATAGTAATCTTGTTCAAAGCCCGGTAATCAATACACATGCGTAACTCTCCGGTTTTCTTAGTCACGAAGAGGATCGGAGCGCCGAAAGGCGAAGTCGAAGGGCGAATAAATCCTTTCGCAAGCAAATCTTTGACTTGCTTTTCTACTTCCTCTCGTTCTAACGGCGAAAGTCGCCACTGGGGTCGGAAAGTCGGTTGCGCATTCGGTTCCAACGGGATAGTGTGGTTAACACCTCTATTCGGTGGTAATTCTGTGATCGGTGCGAAAACTTTCGGAAATTCGTTGATAATCTCCACAAGGGATTCATTCTCAGCAATGTGTGGTGGCAGATCCACAGCATTAAGCGTTGGTGTGTCAGAGAGCAGGGATGCGGTTTGCTTCACGACAACAAGCAACGATCGACAGCCAGCTTCGTTCAAATCTCGAAAAACTCTTTTCAGCGAGACGATCTTAATTGTCTCAGGTCTTTTCTCGAGAAGTGTGACTGAATGATACTGACTGATGATACATCGAAGACCGTTACGGAAGATGGCGCATTCTCTGATCTAACGTAACCGAGAGTCCCGTGGGTCATCTCAATCTCAAGGGACCTTCCGCGGGTCTTAATTCTGCACGGTATCTTCTTAGAAAATTCTGACCCAAAACAACATCAGCGGACGTGGTTAACGTCGGCAGTACGAGAAAACGGACTTCGGCTCGAAATCTTCCGATGTGAAGGCGAGTTTTACATTCACCAACGATGGACGCGTACGATGCATCAGCAAGTCGTACCGGCGCGCATGGCGAAGGTTCTAAGGCTAATCCAAGACGGTCTGCCATAGCCTTAGCGATGAAATAATGCGTTGCGCCTGTATCGGGGAGTATGCGTACTGAAGTCTCACTGAGTTTTCCTGAGAACAGGTCTAAATACACATCTTTATTCGTCAAGCAGCAACTTGGATTCAATCGCTGTTATGAAGAAGGGGAATCATACCATAGTTGCAAAGGTTCTGTCAGTGGAGAAGGTTCTGGACATCCTGGGTAGGAAGCGGTGTACAGTCGAGTGCCTTTCAGAAAAGTCTGGATCAACGTCATGCCTTCTAGGAAAGTGTGAAACTTCCCTGGCGTCTCAGGCACTAAAGTACAAGCTGCCATACTAG